AGAAAAAACCGCGTTCATAGCTGATCGCGGAACTTACTGTTATAAAGTGATGCCTTTCAGTCTTAATAATGCCGGTGCGACCTACCAACGACTCGTCAATCGCATGTTCGCCGAACAACTCGGAAAAACGATGGAAGTATACATTGATGATATGCTTGTAAAAAAAAAAAAAAGAGATTTGGGATAGACAAAGAGAAGAAAAAGAAAGATATGAATAAAGAGCTAAGTGTAAAAATGTTAGAAAGAATCCCCAGTTGGTTAAAAACAAAAGAAAAAGTGTGATCATTGGGTGAGTATTGAAGATGAGTAATATTTTGGGTTTTGGGACTTTGAAAGAAGATGATTTGAGCTTAGTATCATTTAGGAAAAGGGTAGAATGATGAGAGCAAGTCATTGTATGCATGAATTGCTCCTTTTCTTAGATAAATTTTGCATAATGATCTAGCTACTATCTTTGAGAGTAGGTCACTATAAAAAGAATGTATATAAGCCCCTTTTGTTTCACAATGAACCTTTTTGCTCACCAAGCCAAATGATTGAGATCATATGCCTATTTGTAAGACTTCACCTTGTGTGTGTGTGTTTGAATAAATGTGAGAGTTGGTTGAAGGAGCTTGTTAATTGATGAGTTATGCATCTTGCTTAAAGGCATAAGAGTGTTTTTGATAGGCCTAGAGAAACTAGAGTATAATAAGAGAGTGTGCTCATGCTATTTGTTATGTTTCTTTAGGATGTTAAGTTGAGTATTAGGAAGTGTTCTTTTTGGTTATGAGCTCCCACCTTCAAACCTCTTCTCCTATTAGTTTTTGAAAGTTCACTTGAGGACAAGTAAAGAACAAGTTTGGGGGAGTTGATGTATAGCATATCTGCATAGTTTTAATCATCTTATTTTGTATATTTTGATCACTTATGATAGCATTTAGACTTGTTTAGGTTGCATTGCATTTCATATGTCTTTATTAGGTGGTTGACATGCAATTTGATGGAAGTGGAGCAACTGGATCTAATTATGAGGCAAAAGGTGTTTGTTTTGTCCGAGAAGTGGTTTTGGAGGTTAAGTATTATGGCAGCCAGGTGCACACAACGGCCTGAAGCCATCCCATAAACCTGTTGTGGATTGTAGACAACAACACAACTTCTCAGCCAAGTGTTGGCGCGGCATGGTTCAGCGGTATGAGACGACCGCAGGAATATAATGAAGCTGGTGCGAAATCTTACTCGGGAAGCTGCAGCGGTCACTTTGGCCACAGCTAAGGAAATCAAGAAGCGTCTCGATGCTAAGTGTTGGAGCGGCCTATGGCGCAGCGGCCTAATGAGATGTCCAAAGGCTGCTGCGAGTTAATCAAAGTCAACATCTAGAGTTTGACCAGATTTTTATCCATTTATGTTTAGGTTAACCCAGGTTTATTGGGTTGACCCGGTTCATTTGGAGGCTATTATAAATACTTTTTAGACTTAATTTTAGGGGATTATTTTAATTTCTCTCCTAAACACTTGACATTTTGGTGAAAGTTTATTCCTTTAATCTAAGTTTCATCTTTTATCTTGTTTTCCTTGAGATTTCTTAAGTGTTTCATTGCTTTCTAATCATGATTAACCTTAAATCCTTCATAGGTTTAAGTGTGATCATGGTGATTAGTGAGTAGTCATCTTAGGATTCATGGGTTAGGGAGATCAAATGGTGATTAAGCTAGAAGATCTAAGGTGTTTTACTATAGATCCATCGTATTCCTTGCTTGTAGAGTGAATCTAATGATATTTTAGAGTTGGCCTCTCTAGAATTGAGCTTTAGGTATTTCAAGCCCATAAGGTGTATGATGAAATACCTGAACCAACTCTCCAATGCTTTTAACATTCTTTACCAAAGAGACTTGTTGTTAAACATGTTAGGATGGCTAGTAGACTTGATTTTAATGATTGTTTAGATAACATTCAACCTAAGAGATTAGATGCTTGAGTTATCTTTACAAATGAACATTCATCTAGGGATAGAATTTGTTTAGGATTGTGTCTAGGCCTAAGGTTGATAGATTGATTGAAAAGCTTACACCTTTAGATTGAAGCTTAATTACCCAAGATCAATTCTCTTACCCCATAAATTCTCTCTTCTCATTTTAAAAGAAAGCTTTGATCTTTATTGCTTATTTAGTAATATCTTACTTTAAAAATCATCTCAACATTGACTTAGATTAAGCATGGTCTTGCAATTCCTTTGGTTTATGATCACTTAGAAATGGTTTGACATCTTTTATATTACAACATTTGATTAAGAACCTTAAAACTCCTATCATCAAGACTAGCTACGAAAACCCATAAGCATCAAGATCCAAGCGAATCTGAGACTACGAAGGTCAGTCACCAAAAGAGGAACCATTCACAAAAATGTACAACCATCCACTCTATTAAAATAGAGTCATTCTTTTTATCTACTGATATAAGTTGTCATTTAAGTTTGGACCCTTTCTAAAATGTTACAAATAATATAAGTCATATAATTGATTGAACCGTATTACTTAAATTAAACCAACACAATTAATGTAAAGAGACGACCTTAATGTAAACTACCTTCAAAATACGGCAGATATCTATGTGTATACCAAAAACACATATTTTCTCCTACAAATATGGAATGTTCTAAAAGAATATATATCATCAAAATATTGAATATGAAAATCTACTAATTATACTTAAATTAAACCAGTGGTTATTTATGGGATATAGTCTCGGGCTTACTTTTGTTTTTTGAACAAATTATATAGTTTGGTTTTTGGGTTTCGTATTAAGAAAAAAACTCCAAAAACATTGAATAAACTTTTCACATTAAAAGATCAAAAAATCAATTATTATTTTCAGACCCAAAAGATATTTAATATTTTTAACAAAACAAAATTATCTATTATTAATCATTTATTTAAATCATGTACGTTAAAACATGTTAATTTTTTTTATTTTAAATAACAATCATTTTTTTTTAATAAATTTCAATGGTAACTTTTAAATAATTTATTCTTTTACTTTTATTAAATAATTTACTGATTAAAAAAATGTAAAGCAAAACCAAAAACCAAATCTAAAAACTAAAATCTAAAACCAAAAGCTGAAAACACATGTTATATTTTTTTGCTTTGTTTATTTACAAAATAAACTATTTCAATTGTTTTTTAAAAAAAAATTGTTATCATATTTTCAGTTTTAAATTAGATGTTCGATTATTTGAGATTTGTTTGTTGGTAATATTAGTTTAAACTAAGTCAGCGGGGTTAAAAATTAAAAACCCAAACCAAAAACTAAAATGAAAAGTAGAAACTCAAAAACTAAAAACCAAAATCTAAAAATAAAAACTGAAACTAAAAACTAATGAAAAACAATCATCACCACAAATTTTGGTGAACTGATTTTATATCAAAATATTCTTTAAATAAAGGCAAAACCCAATTATATAAATTTTTAATCATAAAGAATTTCCGCGTTTTTCAAGCGCGGGTCAAAATCTAGTTAACTTTATAATAAGAAATCTAGATATAGATCTGATTATGAAAGATGTTAACTTTTAAATAAACAATTATACAAAAAATACAAAGAGAGGGAAAAGAAAGAACTTTTCAAGCGCGGGTCAAAATCTAGTTAACTTTATAATAAGAAATCTAGATATAGATCTGATTATGAAAGATGTTAACTTTTAAATAAACAATTATACAAAAAATACAAAGAGAGGGAAAAGAAAGAACTAGAACGCAAACGCGACCGACATCATAGCATTATTAGTTAACGTATGTCATCCAAGATATAAATTCGATGTTGAAAGTGAAGTGAGAAGGAGGAGACTTTTTCTTTAATGTTTTCGATGTTGAAAGTGAAGAGAGAAGGAGGAGACTTTTTCTTTTAGGGAAATAATGTTAAAACTAGGTATTGTGCCCGCATATGCGAGCATAATCTTTTTACGAATATTTATTATTTTTCATTTTATTAATTCTAAAATAATATTATAATTTATATTTTATAGTTTTAAAAAACCAAAATCGAACTTTAAAATATTTTTATATGAATTTTCATCAAAATCTATATGTTTATTCTAGTGTTGAAAAACATCCATATAATAAAATATTTTTGATAATATATTTATATTTTTTCTTAATATATAATTTTAAATTGTTTTATAACTTACATTTTTATTTTTCATAATAAAAAATATTATTTTCAGATAACTGTATAATATTCTATAAGATATCTTATGTTTTAAATATGCATGAATGTGGATAATTATTCTATTAATTTATAATAAATTAACTAATATAATAACATATAAATTTCCATCATTAACATAAAATTCGTTTTAAACTAATTTATATGTAAATTTCATTAAAGGTGTCATTAACTTGAACGGTTTCAATTTTTAATATATAATATTTATTTATATAATTAAAAGTATTTTTATACAAATGTTTTTGTTGGATTAATATTTAATTAAAATCGATTTTTATATTTTAATTTTTAAATTTTATAATAGAATGATATTATTTTTAAAAGCCAAAATCAATTATATATAAAGTCAAGATATATAAACATTATCATGTTGTTATAATATTATATTCAAATAATAATAACATATATAAGAATTATCTTTTTTGATTTTTTATAAATTTATTATATTAATTATTCTCAGTTATCTAAGATAATAACATATTAATCTAATTTTCTTTTTTAAATTTCGTTTTTAAAATTAATTATATATAAAATAGAATTAAAGGTAAAATAGATATTAACCGCTCTAACTTTTAACGTGAGAGCTCCGTTGCGAAAAATCACTTCGCAAATAATAGTATTATTTACAATTGGATAATAATTATTGATCTAAAATTATTTAACTAAATAAAAACTAAAAAAACTTACAATTGGCACAATTTAGCTTAGTTAGTTTTTTTTTATTAAATCATAGCTATTAAGAATACCTAGTGAAAGTGGACATGGCTTGGGGCCGGCCCATTAAACAAACTCATCGTGGAAAACCTCCTAGGGTTTCATTCATTCTAGGGCTTCACCGTTCCCTCATTTAAAAACGCGGCCGCGACAAGTTTCCTCCCTGAGCCTAAAACAGAACTAGAGAGCTTGAGAGAGAGCAAGAAAGTGAGGACAAGATGAAGACGATCCTTTCTTCCGAGACGATGGACATCCCCGAAGGCGTTAGCATCAAGGTTAACGCTAAGGTGATCGAAGTTGAAGGACCAAGAGGCAAGCTCGTTCGCGACTTCAAGCATCTCAACCTCGATTTCCAGCTCATCAAGGACGCCGAGACTGGGAAAAAGAAGCTTAAGATCGACTCGTGGTTCGGATCTCGCAAATCAAGCGCATCCATCAGAACCGCTCTTAGCCACGTCGACAACCTTATTACCGGTGTGACCAGAGGTTTCAGGTACAAGATGAGGTTTGTGTACGCTCATTTCCCAATCAACGCATCTATTGGTGGCGACAGCAAGTCCATTGAGATCCGTAACTTCCTTGGCGAGAAGAAGGTTTGTCACTTATTAGTCTGATTTTGCTGATGAATGGTTCTTTCTTACGTAGAAATGTATTCATTGGAACAAACAGGTCAGGAAGGTTGAAATGTTGGACGGTGTAACCATTGTTAGGTCTGAGAAGGTTAAGGATGAGATTGTTCTTGACGGTAATGATATCGAGCTTGTCTCTAGGTCATGTGCTCTCATCAACCAGGTATACTTTCTAACGACCCTGTTTGATTATTTGAAACGTTAGTTGTTCATTGTTGTGGTTGATAAATTAAATTTGGTAATAAAATTTTGTATATTAAAAGTTTTTGATTCATGTTCGACTCGACCGTAATTTCAATGCTGAAAATCCAAATGGACATTTCTCACAGGCTTGTACAGAATCTAATTTAAGTGAAATTTAGAAGGTCGTAGGTTTTGGTATCACATTTTGCTCTATAGTATCGACTAGTAAAGTACTTTGGTCTGGTTTGCATACTGTTTGTTTGTCTCCTTCCCATATAGACTGAACCTGGGGTTAACATATGGTGGATGTTTTATATTTGGAATTTTTATTTCAAGTAATGAAACCATATTTTCTAATCACTGAATGATTTTGCTGTGTATAAGTGGCTTTTTGTAATCGTTGTGGGTTTTGTATGTGATGTGCAGAAATGTCACGTTAAGAAGAAGGATATCAGGAAGTTCCTTGACGGTATCTATGTTAGCGAGAGGAGCAAGATCGTTGAAGAGGAATAGACTCTTTATTTCTCCGTCATCTTTTTAATGTTTAGTTTGTTGTTCACAGACCAAAATCCACCCGTGTTGCAAAACTCGGCTTATCTATCCCTTGTCTTTTTTGTTCGAGATTTTATTTTATCACAAGTTTTTGGAGACACTATTGTTAGTCTTTTTTACCCATTTCTCTTTTGAATCGCCTAATTAAATCTCTCAATTTATTTTTAATCTATCGAATTAATAATTTCTCTTGTCTTTTCAACCTTGCACTCTTACCCAAACTTGTAAACCGAAGAAATTAAAGTGTTTATTGATTTGATTCACCATAAAAGCAAAGAAAATAGAAAAAGAAGGAAGAAAATTATGAGAGGGGCCACAAGGCACTGACAGTGTCACACAGTGCACATTTCTTCTTCCTTTTTAAGATTCCTTCACTAGACATACTTCTCAAGGTCCTCTCTCACTCCATCATTGAGATTCTGATCTCTGCGTTAGCCACTGTAAAGTTTCTTTTCTCTTCTTTCTTTCTTCAGTTACTTTAGTTTCATCTTTGCTATCTGTTTTGACTTGATGATCACTCTCTTCTAGCCGATGATCATTTGCCTTTTATACATATCTACTCTAGTAATAGTATTGATCCAACTGATCTACTTGTTTGCTTTCCCTTTGATCATCATGCAAACCAATCATCTCTAACAAACAATTCGATTTGTATATTGTTTTCAACTTTTAGCCGCTCTGCTTGGCGGAAACTGATCCTCTTTCTCTTCTTTAGGTTTTGTAAATCCAATACCATGGCAGAAGCTGAGGAGATTCAACCACTTGTTGTTGATAATGGAACCGGAATGGTCAAGGTAACCTCCTTTTCTCTTCTTCCTATTTTTTTTTCTCTCTTAGCTTGTTGATCAAGTCTAATCTTTGACTAGTTTGATATATAGGCTGGTTTTGCTGGTGACGATGCTCCGAGAGCAGTCTTCCCTAGCATCATAGGTCGTCCTAGGCATGCTGGTGTTATGGTTGGAATGGGACAGAAAGATGCTTACGTTGGCGACGAGGCTCAGTCCAAAAGAGGTATACTTACCTTGAAGTATCCCATTGAACATGGTATCGTTAGTAACTGGGATGACATGGAGAAGATTTGGCATCACACTTTCTACAATGAGCTTCGTGTTTCTCCTGAGGAACACCCTGTGCTTCTTACTGAAGCTCCTCTCAACCCTAAAGCAAACAGAGAGAAGATGACTCAGATCATGTTTGAGACTTTTGATGTCCCTGCTATGTATGTTGCCATTCAAGCCGTGCTTTCGCTTTACGCCAGTGGCCGTACTACAGGTTAGATTGTTTTGGTGATTAATTGGAACAGAGTCTTTAGTTTGGTTGCTCTGAAACTGAACTCCCTCTTGTTCGTTTGGTTTACTTGTAGGTATTGTGTTGGATTCTGGTGATGGAGTGAGTCATACGGTTCCTATCTACGAAGGCTATGCCCTTCCTCATGCTATCCTTAGGCTTGACTTAGCTGGACGAGATCTTACAGATGCTTTGATGAAGATCTTGACGGAGAGAGGGTACACATTCACCACAAGCGCTGAGAGAGAAATCGTGAGAGACATCAAGGAGAAGCTTGCCTATGTGGCATTGGATTATGAGCAGGAGGTTGAGACAGCCAAATCAAGCTCTGCCATCGAGAAGACTTACGAGCTCCCTGATGGTCAGGTGATCACTATTGGCGCAGAACGGTTCCGCTGTCCGGAAGTCCTCTTTCAACCATCGTTTGCCGGGATGGAAGCACCGGGGATCCATGAGACAACTTATAACTCTATCATGAAATGTGATGTTGACATCAGGAAGGACTTGTACGGTAACATTGTGCTTAGTGGTGGCTCGACCATGTTTCCAGGGATTGCTGATCGTATGAGCAAAGAGATCACAGCGTTGGCACCAAGCACTATGAAGATTAAGGTGGTCGCACCACCTGAGAGGAAGTATAGTGTATGGATTGGAGGTTCTATCTTGGCTTCTCTTAGCACATTCCAACAGGTACTTTAAACTCTTTAGCCGTGTCGATTTTACAGTGATTCAACTTAAAGTACTGATGTATGGTTTTCTTTGTTCCGAAATGCAGATGTGGATATCAAAGGCAGAATATGAGGAATCAGGACCAGCCATTGTTCACAGGAAGTGCTTCTAGACAACCTCTTGCCTTGTGGTTTGTGGCTTTCGTCTTATTGATTGATAAAACTGGTTAAAGTTTATATATATATATTGTTTGGTATGAGTTTTGTTTCCTTATGACTGACTATTCATGTATGTTTTGTGGAAAATGGAGTGTTGTGTGTATGCAAACGTTCGACTATTTCTATATTGATAGTATTGGGTTTGAGTTTTCTAAGTCTCTTCGACAAAACAAAAAATGTGGGTGTCTTGCTTAACGAAAGTAAGAGCATCCACAGCCCAAAATCCTTAACAACAAATCCTTAACAACAATTTTTGGAATATTATTATTTTTTCTTTTTTTCGTCCGAATTAGAAAAAAAAAAATAGCCAATCACGGGTTTCTATGCGGCGGTAGAGTCCGTGCATAGTAAAGAGACTGTCAGAAAAGAAATCCGTAAATTGGGACTCCAAGAAGCAATATTGACACAGATTCTTAAATATTTTGAACCCCACATATTATTATAATAATTTGTTGTTAAGGATTTGTTGTTAAAGATTCTGAGTTGTGGATGCTCTAATTGTATGTAGTTTAGTGACAAAACTTATTTTGATGAGGGAATTTGACATCATAAATCTTTTGTTCTTAATCCATTAAAGATAGGTTATCCCTTTCTTATTAATAAAGATATAAATTGAAAAAATAACTTTTAAAGTGTAAGTTATTTACAAGGATGTCATGCTGAGGTGGCAGTATCACCACCTCAACATCACCTTCACTCTCAGTCTATATAACTAATTCCTCTTGTTTCACTAGAGAATTTACATCAAATGTCATTGTCATTCCAACGGTCTGTCATCTTTTATGTTCTCATCAAAATAACATTTATCTTAATAGTAATTTTTACATTCTACCATACAGTAACTTTTACCTTATCCCCTATATATTCTTTTATATTATTTGCGAACTGATTTTACTATATGTCATCTTTATAATCAGTTTCACAAAAAATGTATTATGACATAACTACTAAAATTGATGACATAACTTATGACAAAATATGACTTGGATAATTACATTTAATATTGATTTAAACTTTTGGTAAACTTTTTAAATATGATAATAACGTGTATCTTACATTTAATGATGATATTTATGGTAGAAAAAATAAAATATGGTAATAACTCATACATCATCTTTAAAATAAATATAGCATTACAAATTTCAAAACATTCTTCTATTTTATTTTTTATATTTTACAATTTTTATTACTAAAGTTTCTAAAAATATAAATTTCTACAAATAGAACTTGCTACATTTAATTTTGATATTTATTTATTGTAAAAATTTAAAATATGGTAATAACTCATACATCATCTTTAAAATAAATATATTCATATATAACATTACAAATTTTGAAATATTATTCTATATTATTTTTATATTATACAATTTGTATTACTAAAGTTTTCAAAAAATGCTAAAAAAATTTAAAAATATAAATTTTTATTCGTAAAATCATTAGTTTCTTAGATATTTACAAATTTCGTATATACTGTTTAATTTAAATTTTTGATAATTATACAATTTATTATAACTTTTATTATTTTTACACACATTAACTCAATATATTCAATATAAATAGATAGAAAAATCTACCTAAGATTATAATTTTAAATATATACATATATATTATTTAAATAATTTAAAATGAAGAAAACTATTTTATCTTAATTTATTTTTTAACTAAATAAAATCTAAATTTAAATATTGGTAAGAAAATAATAAAATCTATAATATTAGGAAAATTCTCTCAAATAGACCTTTTAAATTTTTATCACAAAAATAAACCTCAAAAACTAAAATGACCAAAAATACCATTTTTATTTTGAAAATTTTAATTTTATTTTATTTTTAAAATTTGACATCTTATCCCCAAACCCTACTCCTCAATTCTAAACTAAAAGGTCTACGATTTAGTTAACCCAAAGGGTATAAGTATATTCTAACTCTATATTTGTGACAAAACAAAATTGTAAGTATATCCCAGAGAATTTTTCTCATAATGTTAATAAAATTTATTATTAAATATAATTTAAAATTAAATTTTTTTTACTGCACATGGTGCAGGAAAACACTGTAAAAGTAAAAACAATTAAGATTATGATTTTTTTACAAATTTGACTTAAAACTCAAAGTCAAACACAAAACTAACATTTTTGACTTTTCTTTTGTCCTATTCACCCCACTTGTTCACATTATTTACGAAAATGCCATTACATTTTTCTTCTTTTTTTCGAAAATTGTTTTTTTTACTCTCTCAACCTCATCATCTTCAAGTATTTACAAGATTGTCATTGCCATCAATACCCTAACTACCATGAACAACCAATCGATTTACTCTCTCTCTTTCTCAATTGTTATGAACTAAAAACAACATCTCTTTCACTTTGTCTCCATATTCATACAAAAAACCCAAGCTTTTGATCAAAAAAATTTATGGTTGATATAGCCATTTAAGCATACATTTTTTGGTGGGGTACTTTCGTTTGATGTTCTGGTTGGTTGGAGAAGACTATGTGTGCTAAAGAAGTCATCTCACATAGTTTAAAGTATGAAATTGAATTTTTTTCCAGATCTCTTCGCGTAGAAGACTCACTCGTAATCTTCTCGATGTAGAAGACTTACGGATAAGTCTTCTGGTCAAACGGATGACTTACTCTAAGTCGTCCATCTTTGTATGTTAAAAAAAAACTCTAGACGACTTATACGTAAGTCGCCTAGAAAAAACGGGCTAGTTTTGCATTTGACCAAATTGTGTCAGACATTTGACTTTTCCTGGCCGATTTACATGTAAGTCGTCTCTAGGAAAGTTAATATTTTAATAAATCTAGACGACTTACGGATAAGTCGTCTTAGGTTAGTTTTGTAATTGAAAAATTAAACTTTAATTTTAACTTTTCCCAGAAGACTTAATTTAAAGTCCAATCAGATGATTTATTCTAAAGTCGTCTGAGATAAGCAAAGTCGTCCATTTTTTTTTCCGAGATTTCTGGTCAAACCTTGCT